CACATGCACGCACGTGCGCGTACACACACACACACACACACACACCACACACCACACACACACACACACACACACACACACACACACACCAAGAAAGCACTGGGAAAATTTTCCTGGAACCAAATTATATGCTGACTCAGCCTGGGAACACCTGCACGTCCGTCCAGATGTTTGGCCGAACTCGGGTCAAGCTTCTTCAGACGTGTTTTCTAGCTGCCTCTCAGCCTGCCTGCTAACAGGAGCTTCAACAGGACCATCACAGCCCACGGACATCACAGCCCACGGACATCACAGCCCACGGACATCACAGCCCACGGACATTATTTTGCTCATTTCTACTCTGTCAAGGGGACCCATTTCTCCAGCTGCAGGTAAATTTCATCTTCTGCTCTAAGATAGAAACTTAAAAATGTTTCTAAGCTGATAGGTTGGTGGGGTTTTGTGACACATTAGATTATTGCGTGACTTTAAACAGTATCGTACTATCTCTAGAAGTCTGATCTTACCGTCTAGGCTCTGCCTTCCTAACAGAAGCAACACCACCAGATCTCAAGGTGCAACATACACAGGGTCAGGGTCACTTTTAACAGAGTGGGTGTTTGACCAAATCTCAGATGGGCTTCTCAGATGAGGTTATCTGGTTGACTTCCCGTCAGAGCCGGTCAGCACTGCGCCTACTTTTCCGCATCAATGCGGAACTGTTTGCATAGAATTTATACACTGCCTTACAGAATGCTTTTCAAGAGGTTGTCCATTTGGAGGTGACTGACATATGAACTATCATGCCAAGATGATAAAGATACCACACTATCAGGGTACTACAGGTAAAGTGGGTATCCCAACAGTACTCCACCGTGGCACTAGGCATATTTGGTCTTTCTTTTACTAATTTATGTGTGTGTGTGTATGTTTTGCCTACATGTACGTGTATCATGTGTGTGCCTTGTGTCAGAGGAGTCCAGGAAAGGGTGTTGGAGTTAGACGCTTGTGAGCCACCTTCTAGGTGCTGGGAATCGAACCCAGGTCCCCTGCAAGAGCAACAGTGCTCTAACTGTTGAGCCAGCTCTACCCTGTCACTTGAATTCTCTAATATCTGGCCTGTGGGAAGCTGCTGGAGTCAACCCAGTGAAGCACATTGTGCTCTCATTTTTGGGAGAAGAAACCCTAATCATTTTTTTCTCTTGGCACCTGGTTCCAGGGCCCCCTACAAATCCCAATTTTGGGGTAAGTCATTTATAGAAAACCATACAATATTTGTATATAAACTATGCATATCTTCCATACACTTTAAATCTTTGGATTACTCACAACACCTAATACAACACATATGCCACGCAACTATTATTTAGGGAATAAGAAGAAGAAGGTCGTACATGTTCAGCACTAATATAATATTCTTCTTAATATTTTTGAACTACGGTTGGTTGAATCCTGTAGACACAAACCATCAGAGAGAGGGCCTCCCAGTGGCTTTTCCTAGCCAGCTTTATAGATCCAGGTACGGCTCCACAACTTTTAAGAGCACTGAAGGCTCCCATTCCTCTAAAACTGAGAACCCAAAGAGCGAAGAGGTGACAGAAAACAGACAGCTGAGAACAGAAGACAAACAACGCTGAAGGCCCTCAGCCGTCTGCCAGGGCTGTTACAGGAGAACCTCTGGAACACATCTCTGTCCAGGAGCACCATCTAAGAAACGGTGTTTGCCACCTTCAAGAGACTCGGCCTCACGTTTTAGGCTAAAATAACAGCATGGATCAAGTGTCAGTATCTGCGTAACCCTAGCCAGAAGGCGCTCCTCTCGGGTCCCACTTACCCCTGACAAATAGCGCTCGAGTTTCTTGTTTAACAGGAAGTAGATGGCCAAGATGTGGCAGGCGCGGTTGGAGAGCACCGTGTTGATGACGTCGCTGTTCTTATAGCCCAGCTTCTCAGTCATGTGCAGCACCACGCTGGGGCTCAGGTCTTCCAGAGAAATCCTGTGAGGGGCAGACACCGAGAACCAGTCACATCTCCACCTTCACAGAGCGGCTCACAAACATGGCAGACAGAAGGGGCCCACACAGGGCCCAGGGACAACTGGGACCTCACACACTCACTCACTCGTTCACTTGATTTTTTTTTTTTTTGAGACAGGGTCCCGTGCAGCTTAGGCTAGCTCAGACTCTCAGAGCGGCTGAGAAATGACCCTGAATATCAGATCCTCCAGCGACTACCTCCTGAGGGCTGGGATTGGAGACACACATGCCATAACTGTTTCATGTGCTACTGAGACAGAACCCAGGACTTAGTTCACACCAGGCAGACTCTGCCTCAACTGAGCTACACCTCTAATCCCAGTGGGCTTTTTATTTTGAAATTTTTCATGTATATAGAAAGGTGGTGGGTTTACTATATATAATGTTCCTTATATATCTGTGGGTTTTCCATCCATAGGATTCAATTAATCTTAAAACATTTCAAGGGAAAAATAACTACATCCATACTAAAAATAAAGGTTTTTTTTTAACTGACATTATTCCCTAAGCAATATAGTATAACAACTATTATAAATCATCCAAAGGTGATATAAAATGCATGGAAGAATTGTGTGGTTTATGTGCAAACTATACCATTTCATATAGGAGACTCAAGTGTCTATAGATTTTTGGGTGGGGTATTTGAAAGCAGCTCACCTTATAACCCTGTAGACCAGGCTGGCCTTGAACTCACAGAGATGTGCCGGCCTCTGCCTCCCGAGTGCTGGTATTAAAGGTGTGTGCATCACTACACCTGGTGTCTATAGAGTTTGGGGGGAGAATCACAAGAACTACCCCACCGATACAGAGCGACACCTGTGATTAGTGTGTACACCATCACTTGGAAGTGTGGATGTAATTTGCCACAATTCCTTCACTTTCGGTTGTTACTGTTGCTGCTAAAATATTTTAAACTGTAGGCAGCACGCCATGTCATTCTAAATACGTCAGTGTGTGACCTTAAAACCAAAGGACAGCCAGACCTGGTGCACAGGCTTGTCACCCCAGTTACTGGAGAGACTCAGGCAGAAGGAGTCCAAGCTGGGTTAAACAGAAGATGGGAAAAAAAAAAAAAACTAAAAACGAACACATGAGGCACAGTTGTGTGAAAACTCCTGGTGTCTTCAGTGAGAGCAAACCTAGGCCCCTCATGCATGCCGGCAAATCATGGCCATGTAGGGATGACCCCACTCCTGTGTGCTGCCTCATAGTATGTGGGAAGGTGCGGTGTGCCACCCCAGTGAGGAGAGAGGGATGGATGTCAGCCGGGGTAGCGCCCCATCTCAGTGCTCTGTAGATGTCGTCTTGAGAACCAGGAGACTCCCCCATAATGTAGGCTTTTGACTGAGAGTCATGTATATCTTGAATCTTTTTTGGTAATGAATATATTTGGTTCTAATACATCTGTTATTGAATCTCTACAGTTTTTGGCTGATAAAGAGAATGATAACCACCAAATGTGGTGGCTCATACCTACAACACCAGTGCCCAGGAGGAACACAGGAGGCTCATTGTAAGCTTCTAGCTTGCCTGGGCTGCACAGTGAGCGTCAGGCTAGCCCAGATCATATAGCGAATTATAATTTGAGCTAAGTACATTCATATTAAATTGCCTTGACACTATTTTGGTTTCATTCTGGCCCATTAACAGAATTGACTATGGGTGTGGGCTGACCAGGTCCCACAGGGAGACAGGAAGAGGAAGGAAGGCCTTCTGTCCACACCAGGAAGAGTGGCCAGGCACCCAGCCAACACCTGCTGAGCAGCTGGGATGAGTGTTTGCTGTAAAATATTTCTTACAACATTGTTCCGTCCTACCCTTTGGAGATCAGCTTAGAGGCCGAATGGCTTCACAGGAGAAAGTCGTGCAGAATATTGTGGAACTTTTCCTTACTTTCCCAAAGGGAAAGGAACACTGACAATATCTAAACTAATTAAACCAAGAGACAGCAGTATCAGGAAACTAGAAAATAGATTTTACACATATATAGTATGTGTCTTTGGCTGTGTTTTTTTTATTTATTTAAGGGCTGGTAAAACCAGAAAAACAGTTACCAGAAATAGATTTTTTTTTGCCTCAAAGACTAACACTTTTCCAAAATAAAAGCTGTAAATAACACATACCTCCCTCAATATATTAGAACTCTGGTCTCCTATCTTAGAAACAGAATGCTGTTTTGTCTGTTGTCTACAATGAGCCACAGGCCTTAGATAACAGAAGACACCAAGCTGCTGTTTTCTTTAAACAAGACCTTTGCCGTTTTTACATTTACCATTTACTAGTTAGTTCTTTCCTCTCTCTGGCTCGCTCGCTTGCTCTCTCTCACACACACATGCACAGCTCACACATTCACACACATGCACGTTCACACACACACACATAATCACATTCACACACACATAATAACACTCACACACATAACTCATATACATTCTCACCCTTGCATGTACACACACACATACACTCACTCACACACACACATAACACACACATTCTCACAACCTTGCATGTATACACACACATACACTCACAGACACACACACACACGCACCCTCACACACATATAATCACACTCGCACACACATACCTCACACACATCCACATATCCTCACACCCTTGCATGTGTACACACACACATACACACACACACACACACACACACACACACTTAGCTGGCTAGTAAACCAGGATAAGGAATTGACTCTGCGTTCACCTCACCAAAGCCTGCCTCCTGTCCCCTGTGAGGAGGCTAAAAACTATAAGCCACATTGTAAGTCTTTGACACTGAAGAAGTAGCTGTCTGTGTCTCTAGTGCCAGCCCCACAGCCTTCCACAGCTTCTGTGTCCCCCAACACAGATGGTTATGCTCAGGTAGACAGTCATTACATTAGCTTAACGACTCATTTGGTCGCCATCAGAGCCACCTCTTTACAGAAGGCAGCCCGCAAGCTGCTCTGCAGAAGCAAGGCAGGGCCCCCAGCTTGTCTGCAGGCTCACAGGGGTTAATTGTTCTGGTGTCTGTTTCCATTCCTGGCCCAGACTGAGCAGGTATTGGAAAACAGTGTCTATTTCCAGGTTCCCTTGACAACCTGGGTAACCCCGGACTTTGTCTAAATTACCACTCGTGAGCCAAATGCTGGAGTTCTACATGGTAACGAGACCAAGTCGTCTCCTCGATGCCCAGGGCGAGAGCAAGTTTGGCCAAGTAGCCTGGACGCGGATCCCAGGGATGTCCATCCAGGCACTTTAAGCAAGTCCATCCCAAGTAAGAGCCCTTGTTCAAGAGACTCAGCACTTCAGCTTCCAAAGGCTTGGTGGATGTTTCTAGACCTTCTCGCCCACGACTGGGGGATTTTAAAACTACAGTCCCAGAGGACACCCTTCCCCTGCTCCTTTGTAGTTCTGGTCCTCATCCAAGCTTGGTAGAATGTGTAGTGCTCTCAAGGGTTAAAAAAAAAAAGGGAAATGGGCTACCCCGGAAGGCTGGAGTCAGGCGGTCTCCATATGTACTGGAGTAGCCAAGGGAGGGTCTTTATCCCTCACTCAGAGTACTTGAGAGTGGGGAAATGATTCCCAAAGCGCGCTGAGATGTTTCTCTTGCTGGTCTTCCACTCTGCAGTCTGCCCAGACACAGGCCAGGTGAACTGACTCAGTGCACCCGTCCTGAGCCCTCGTGGAAACTGCGAGGTAAGGCCTCCGTCCACGGCAAGCCCACAATATGGCAGCCGAAGAAAATGATTCGACCTTATCTGCACCCATTCCCAGACTTTCAAGCAAGGGGCTTGGAGCTGAAAGACACATCAAGACTCAAGCAGCAGACAACATGTGTAACAGGTGATTTCGAAGGCTTAGTTCCATGGGATCCCAGATGCTTAATGTTGGCGCGCACACACACACACATACACTCATGCACACACATTTAAATGGACCCTTTAAGTGAACTACAGTGCCCCTTAGAGAATATGTGACCCATCAGAGTAAGGTTTGGTGAGGGGGCATGACCTATAGCTCCATCCCTCCAACCAGGCTCCACAGGACCCAATTAGCATAAAGGCATAGGACAGCCCTGGCTGCATCTTCTTGCCCAGTGAGATGGGTCTGTCTGCAGGGGAGTGGCTGCAGAGGTGGGCAAGGCCAGGCAAGGCGGCGGGATAAACAGCGCTGACTTCAATCACAGACAGCTCCTGTCTGGAGCTGTGGAAGGCTCACAGGACAGGCCCCACAGCACTGGAGCAGGTGTCCCTCCACAAGCACTGGCTTACCTGTTGGGATAGGTGACATTACAGGGCACTTTCCCAGTGTAGTTCTCGTTTAGCCAGCGGTTTGCCAGTGCTTGCTGAATATTTGGCCTCTTCACAGGGTCTGGTTCCAGGAGAGAGCGCAGGAAGTTGATGGCCCCTGTGAGACAGTCAGCAAAGAACACGCGTTATGGACTGAACACTCACTGTAGACACTGCAGCTGCAGGTCTGCTTCCTTATCTCCTCTGAGCCTCCAATCTGGGGTCTCTGGCAGAGCTTCGTTTTGATAAGGCACAGATCATGATTTCGGTCCCCACCCTCAGGACCATGCATTTCTGGAACAATCTGTGGGCTCCTGTAGTCACTCAGAGATCAGCCACAGACAAGAACTATTTCCACGTGGGGGATGAAAGTGCAGAAACTGAGAAGACGCCCAACAGCATGGTGGCGACTGAGCGATCCATCAGGAAGGAAGAAAGACGAATGAGTTTGAATTAGACCCTCGAGTTTGATCCTTACCGCAGGCACCGTGTCTCGTGAGGTGCTTTCTGGCTGGTTGGTTAATTGATTGTTTAATGACCCAGGGATTAAGCCTGAGCCATCATACACGCCTGGGAACCACCACTGAGCTATGCCCTCAGCCCTACTCTACTTTCTATTTTGAGATCGGCTCTCACAAAGTAGCCCAGGGTGTCCTCGAACGCCCTCTGTAGCCCAGGCAGACTTCTATCTTCCCCACCTCAGCCTCCCTGGTATCTTGGATTACACACACGCGTTACCGGCAGTCCAGTCTTCTTCTTTCAAAGCTATTCTTTACTGCCTCCCTCGCCTGCTCCAAACTCTGTGAGATTCTAACACAGTGCCCAGTCCAGCCTGAACACACGCTCGCCTAGCCACGTGCATCAGGCTGACAGGACACCAGAGATCTGCATGGTCTAGGTGTTAGGCCAACTCTAACTTATGTCTTCAAGTCCTAGTTTGTCACAAGCAGACCAAGGCAAATCCGTGCCCCTCTGATGCTGTCGCTTAAACGGAAGGAGATGTCTGGGCAGAATGCACGCCAATAGTATTTGCTCTTATTTTCAGTCTAAAGACAAGTGTAAGGAAGGATGTGAAAACCATCGACAAAACTATAAAATCCACGCAGCCCACTTACTTCCATCCCCAGCACAAGCAATTTGTTTTAATACCCTGGGCCTCCTCTCACTAAACGAACGTTTACAGAACACCTGTGATCGACCCAGACTCTAGGGGCAGGAAGCTGAATTCTGTAGCCTTTAAGATCACAATAGCAGAGACAACCGGACAACATGCAAAACCATATTCTGGAAGGTCGCAGGTACAGAACTGTCCAGTGAGAGAGTCTGCACACAGAGTGAGGGTCCACACACAGATAGTGAGAGTTCACACAAAGACACTGAGAGTCTACACCCAGACAGCCCACACACGGACAGAGTTGAGTGTTCATACATAGACAGAATGAGATTCCACACACAGGCACCTGGTTTTCCTGAGTTCTGAGACTCCTTCTCCTGTTCAATGACACCTTGTCATAATGTCTTGCAAGGCACTGAGATACACCTCATCCGGCAATGTGACTGTCTAGCTTCAAGAAGTCCTGGGATAGATTCCTAACACCATATAAGTCAGGCACAACTATGTCAGACTTTCCAATGTGGGATCTGAACTCTGAAGAGCAAGCCCTCTTGCTCATGAGCCACCGCCCCAACCCACCACTAAACAGGGGTCTCTATTGTTCAAGGATAACGTGGCGGGTTTGATGAGCTGACTTGGGTGGGGCGGTTGAGTCGGGTGCCTTCTGAGCTCTCTGATGCCCACCCCTAGGTTACTGGCAGCCATTCATAGCCGGGCCATCTTTGAAGAATGATTAATCAGAAGAGCCAAGGGTACCCGGATGTGTGTTTCTGTTCTATTTTCACCACCGAGTGCTCTAAATCTTCACAAACTGCTGATGAGCACACATAATTTTAGTCCACGTCCCTGCTGATAGTCATACACCTCTGGACGTCACAGTCATCACACCGCTGTCCTGAAAAGACTTTATGAACATCCTCAGAGTGCTTCCAAGTTTGTCCTTGGATCTTGAAAATATCCGTGTCTCTGGGGCCAAGAGGGATGACGCATTCCCCGCTAACCCAGAAAGTGAGATCTAGCATGGTCCTGGCTACCCTCGCTTCCTGAGAGCTGACCTTTGGGCTTTATACTCGAGCTGAGAGAGTTGGAGCAGAATGGGGGCTCCATCACCTGCACACACCAGGAGGCAGGCACCACTGGGGGGCCAACATCGTTTCTTTCAGGAGCAGACTTCTCGAGTCTGAACTGGCTTACGTGAGCACTGGACACTGCCAAAAGCAAGGGCTGCCGGCACCAGACAAAGGCACCCTACATTACAGCAGCCAGGCAAACGCAAGCAGAGGCCTGTCCTCGAGGGAGGCTGCCCTCTCATCTCCTCTCAGCTAAGAATCCTTTCACAATGGATGGGTAAAGCCTTCTTGGAAACCTTAACCGGGCCCAACCCTCAGCAATGCCAGCGTTTCTTCCTCAGCTTCCCTCTCTGCATCTGTGAGACAAAATCCTCTTAATTGGAAGTGTCTGCTTGGAATACATTAGAAATGCTTTTGCTATGGCGCCATGACGAAAGAGTAAACTGTTGGGAAACTCTCAGCCGCGAAAGGCATTTGTGAACTCTGCTGTGCAAGAGGCAACTTGCAGAAAGCGGAAACCAACTGGAGGAGAGTTGGAGAGGCCCCCGAGGCTGAAGCTTTCCAGTTGCGTGATGGGAACATTTCATAGATTAGCAAGGACAGGAGCACTGCAATTTTTTTTTCCAACTGAACTTTGCTAAAATAAAATAAATTAATAAATAAAACTTTGAATTTAATCTAAATGGTAATCATAAGATTTAATTGATGTAATCATTTCAAAAAGGGCAGACAGAACATCAAACTAAAGATGACACGTGTTCCTGGTAGAGGTAACAGCGGTGCATTTTCAGCTTGTGATGACATCACTCAAAACGCAAGACCTAAAGGCAAGAGACAAGAGTTGGAAGTTCGTGGGCTGTGGAGGGGACAGATCATGTGTTACGTAAGGAAAGAGGGCCAGAGAGATGGCTCAGCAGTTAAGAGTGAGTGCTGTTCTTGCAGAGGACCCGAGTTCAGTTCCAGCACCAATATTAGGTAGACTACCCATAACTCCAGCTCCAGGGGATCAGACACCCTCTCTGGCCTCTGCTGGTGCTGTACACATATGAGCGCGTGTGTGTGGAGTGTGTGTGTGTCTGTGTGTGCATGTGCACACGCATGTGTTTCTAAAAGGAAAGGGAAAATAACAGCATAGTATGAAGGGAAATGTGGGTTTTCAATCAAGCCAATGTAATCACTCTGAGACTCAGGCTCCTCACTGGTAAATTGAGAACAATGGCGTCCACCTTGCCTGACACAGTGAAAGGGCAGGAACAGGGAAAGAACTTCATTCTTTTGCTCCAGGAAGGGACTGCTTCTCTTGGAACTGGTAAACTAGTATCTCTGGGAATAACAGCTGATCACAGGGGCACGAAGGCCGACCAGCTTGCTGCACTAGCCTGCTTCTTCTACAGCCTGTGTGTGGCTCACACTAGTTCTGTCCACACATATCTCTGCCTTTTCACCATCAGCTCCCGTGGTGGGGTGGCACTGCTCCCTCCCTAGTGCCTGTCGGAGGCCATGTGCCATGCTTAGAGACAGAAGGCATGGCTGGCTTTTACTGCTGGGTGGGGACCTCCTCCTTTATCTTCTCTGCATGGACCAGCAATGGGGCTGAGATCCCACTTGGGCTCAGTCCTCTTCAATCTTTGATCCAACCTTCAATTAATATGAAGCACACAAAGTAAGCCCTTGTGGTCTCAGCCACCGAGAACTGGGGCTGACCGTTATCATCGCGACCCAGCAATTCTTCTCTTGACCACTTGTCTTACAGAAATCACATCCAACACATCTGGAGTTGAATGTTCACAGCAGCCCCAAACTGGAAACACTCCAGCGGTCCTTCGGCGGGTGACTGGCTAAACAAGCCGTGGTCTGTCCATTCCGGGGACACAACTCAGCAGGGAAAAGAGATCTTAGCACAACTGCAGCGAGACAAGGGGTTTGTACGTATTCTCCATCTTCATAATGCCTTCACTTCAAAAACATGAAGAGAAATGGAGATGGGACAGTGGCCAGTAAGGCTTTGCAGAGCTGGGGGAGGGAGGAGACAACGCCCATACAGGGAGGGGGAGCAGTTCTTGCAATGCAACTGTGTGTCTTGATGCCACCTCACTTAAAGCACCAACACTACCAGCTATCTGACATGTTTATTTATCCACATATATGTGTGTGTATAGATACACATATATACATGTATATGTGTATATTCGCCTCTCTCCACAGATGTATGTACTCTGGAGGAGCAGAGGCTACATATGGCTCTCTTTCTGGCATCTAGAACACACCCAGCATGTGATTGGTTTTCATGGACTAAAAGAATGGATATGAAGTGATGAATACATGGATGGATGAATGGACACTTCCCTAGTGCTTTACGGCACCTCCAACACCTCTGAATGCCCAGAAGCCTCGTGTGGCGATTCCTTCAACAAGTCGTGAGTTTCCTAACTCCACGAGGCAGGGCCCCCAGTGCAGAACTATTTCTTGCACAAGTCACTACTGTAACCTCTCTTCCCAAGGACACAAGGCCTCCCTGGCTCTCAACCTCCAGGGATTATAATCTACTTGCAAGGCGAAAGTGTAGCTGGATTGGATAACCATGCCCAAGAACTCATTTCAAGTTGGATCCATTGACAAGAGTGTATCTCAAGTCAGTTCCCCAGATGCTTACAAACCCAAGGGGAAAATACTCAATAGTGGTAAAAAAAAATGTATCAGGAAAGGGGAAATTAAATAATTGGCCTTTCTTTGTCGAAAGACTCATTTCAGTGGCCCTAGACTTATTCTAACAGAGCAATTAAATGACCCCTCAGGGCCGAGCACAGGCCAGGAACTTGATGTGAATTGTGAACCAAACAAAAGATGGAATCCTATCAATTTACTGAGTCTGAAACCCAATCTTTATTCAAGTCTTTTACTGCAATTCGAAGGGGCTGAAGTATAAGAGAACTTCTCAAAAATCATCTCTGGTTTATTCTAATGAAGTAACCGAGTCCACATATGCCCGAAAGCTTTTGAACGGCCTCAAAACCCACATAATAAAACAAATCATGGAGCCAATACTTGAATGAAACCAATGTTTCTCTGCAGTAAACTGGCTGAAGCAAAGGAGTCTTTCCGAGGCCGCACTGCACAGTGTGAGCCTGCAGCTCCTTCGCAAGCAAAGGCGGCAAGGCCCTCTTGCTGCATATGGTTTGTACCAGAGACAGAAGGAGGGGATCAGAGCTTCCGAATCACGGTGGAAAGGAGAATGCACGTGCAATGGATGGACTGGCTTTCCGGGGACGGGAAGCCCAGCAGCCTCTCTTGTTTAGACAGGGAAAAGAAATCACCACAAGGGGACTCCAAACCTGACAAGAGTCCAGAGCAGCAGACACGTTACCTGTGGAGAGCTGGGTGGGGAGCGGGTTCATTTCTTTGTCCACCATCTTCTGGTACAGAGCCCTCAGGCTGAAAGGCTCCACTGTGAAAGGCAGGGTCCCGGTCAACATAGCGTACATGTTCACACCTCTGAAAAGAGACACATCGAAGCGTGAGAACAGAGCGGTCCCAGGGTGCAGAAGACAAAAGGCACGCAGCCAGCTGAGGCGTCTTTCTAAAACCCTCCAGTCATGTCATGGTCGAGGTGTTGACACCGGAAAGGCTGGGGTCAGAACACTGTGAGAATGTAACGAGGGCCTCGGAGCTCAGCAAGAACAGGAAGAGCTGCCTCTGGAGGAGATTCAGGCTGAGTATCTGCTGGAAAATCTAACATGCCCCGAATTCAGAAACGTCTTGACTACCGAAATGACACCACCAGCAGGACACGCCCCCTCTGGCTTCATGTGGTAGTGCACCAAGGGTACTACCTAAAACCGCCCTCAGGCTGGGTCTAGCGTGTTTACGCAGAACACTGACTAGGGTCCCATGCTCAGAATACTTCATGACATACATGCAAAGATTTCAAAACCAAAACGTGGTTCTGGCCGTAAGCATTTTGGACAAGGGACACTCAAGTTGTAATGAGAAGACATCAACACCAGAGAATTCCAAATGGCAGCATGTGGGACACACTCTTCGGAGCCTTAGGAGTGATCCTGCCGGCCTGTAATAGTTCCAGATATGCTATACAAGGCAGAACTTAGAAGGGGCAAAATTAAATAATACAGGGCACCCCTTCTGGGCTAAGAGGGTTCCGGCTTAGCACTCAGCCCTTTGGAACCAAAACTCCACACCCAAAGCCAGTCTTCTATCCATCTCTTGTAAGCGAAGCCATGATACCCACTCCAATTTTGCTCTGGGAAGTCCTTCCCAGACTCATCTCTCAATTGATTCATTATTGGGAGTCTGCCACCAGGCCCTGGACCAGTATCTCAGCTATGATTGAGCTATCGCTGAGCGGACTTAACTGCTTATACCAAAGCCAACCCAGAGAACAGCGAAGTCTTCTGGGAGGATTTTACTCTCTTGATGTACAAAGCTCCTATCATGTTGATGAGGTTTCCTGCTGGGGAAGAAATGCCTGCTAGGCAAAAAGGTCTCCACTCTTCAAAGGCACCGGAGGAGGATGTGTTTTTTGTTTTTTTTTGTTTTGTTTTGTTTTGTTTTTTAAGAAGGCAAGAGGATTTCCAGTCAAAACAGAGCCAATGAGACAGATTGAAATTAAGACCCTTCGGGCCTAATTCCACAGAGGCGCCTCTGAAATCTGCAAGCCATATAATGACAGGTACTGGAGCCCACACTGCAGCCTCAAGCATGCTCAGATTCCAGACGTAATCTGAGGCCCAGTTCTCTCTCTGAACTCAGAAAGGAGTCAGGGGACAGACACGTTCATTCCACAGATTCTTGCTGGATGCCTCTCTCTGACTGGGAGTTCTGTCAGCCAGACAATGGTGCCATTTTGGATTTTGAGCTGGAGAGGAACAGGCAATGGGCAAACACATGAATAAACACAACCCGTTCAAGTAAAGATGAGATCAGAGAGAGGACAATGTGGGATTACGCTGCTTTTGACACAAACTTGATTAAGGAGACCGGGCAGCCTCTTCGGGGAGTGTTTTATGTATGAGCTTACACACCTTCAGTCGGCTGGACAAGGCCACGGGACAAATTACATAACCCAAGAGTCAAACAGACAGGGCAGATGTACAGTTACAGACAACAATCGTTCTTGACGTGTGTTCAGTGCAACACGTTCCTCAGGGCATGAAGAGAGGTGAACGAAAAGTTCCGCAGCCAAACAAGTTACCTACACAGCGAGTCGCCCTCCCACATACGCAAACCAAAGAGGCTCAGACTGGAGAGCTGGGGAGGGTGGCAGCAAGCACACAGTACTGTTATCAGTCAGAACGAAGTGATAGATTTCACAAAGTAGGCATATGAAGGGATGCACCAAGTTAAAACTCAGAAACCAGACCAGTCACGGTGACAGACAGAACTGAGTAGCTGAGGGAGGCAGTTTGGAAGGGGCGGGGAGGAGAGCCCCGAGGTTGCGGCTTATCTTAAAGACCTGTTGTGAAGGCTTGCCTCTTTGATGTGTTTTTTTTTTTTAGGTAGAGCCAAATGCTTGGCTTTTAGGAAGTCTTCAGCATTGACAGAAAAAAAAAAAAAAAACCTAAGAAGTCTCAAAACTATGCGCTATCTACGAAGAGGCCTTAGACATAGGCTTTAACGAATGGAAAACTCCGGCCTCTCCCACGGTTATTGAAGACCACCAAACAGTTACCTCCAAGATGAACTGTTCCCGGCAGCCTGGAGGCGACCTCTCCCGTGCAGGGCTGAAGGTGGACAGGTGGCCAAACACTAAGCCAGTCTTCGCCTTCAAGTCCAGGTACTCGCCCACAGCCAGGGCTTTACTGTATCCCCATCTGACGAGGAGGAGGCCAACATGGACTTAATAATGTGTCAGGGGTGCACCTGCGAGTCTCCTGCTAAGGGTAGTGGCAAACAGCCTCCCGGAGTGTGCCCCTCACTCCGCACACCAGCACCGCCTGAACACGTCTTCCCGGATTGTGTCCCTCACTCCCCACACCAGCACCGCCTGAACACGGCTTCCCGGAGTGTGTCCCTCACTCCGCACACCAGCAGCACCTGAACATGGCTTCCCAGAGTGTGTCCCTCTCTTCCTCTCACCATCACTGCCTGAACATGTCTTCCCGGATTGTGTCCCTCACTCCCCACACCAGCACCGCCTGAACACGGCTTCCCGGAGTGTGTCCCTCACTCCGCACACCATCATCGCCTGAACACGGCTTCCCGGAGTGTGTCCCTCACTCCGCACACCAGCAGCACCTGAACATGGCTTCCCAGAGTGTGTCCCTCCCCACCGCACACCAACACAGCCTGAACACAGCCTCCCGGAGTGTGTCCCTCACTCCGCACACCAGCAGCACCTGAACATTTGAAAGTACACATTCCCGGCCGGCTCCAGACTCAGAGTCAGAAACTCCCAGACCAGGCCTTGTCATGTGTGGTTTAACAATCCCACTGGGGCCAGTGAGATGATCCAATAGGCATCAGTGTTGGCCAGGCAAGCCTGGTGAAGTGCGTGTGAGTGCCAGAATGCCTGTAGAAGTTAAAGGAGAGAAATGACTCCACAGCAATGTCCTCTGACTCCACATGCCACTGAGATGTGAACCTCCTTCCTCCCTCCCTTCCTCTCTCTAACACACACACACACACACACACACACACACACACACACACACACACACACCATACACAAATGTACTTAAGTGCAATAATGATGTTTTTTTAACTCTCTGAATGCACTCTGCTTTAAAATCCACTGGGAGGATAAAACATAGACGGTAGGAGAGTCAAGCCATCATAGTGAGTCTGACGGGAGGACTGCCAGGGAGGACTGGCGGGGAGGACTGCCGGGGAGGACCACACAGACTACACACCGCAATCCAGCTCCTCTTCAGCACTGGCCCCACTGCATTATGTTAGTGTCCTCATTGGAATACGCTGGGGCTCCTGTGTCTTTGAGTTACTAGAATGTAATTAGTTTGGGCGTTTTAGTTATACAAGGCCACACATTTATTGATATGTAATTCTGGATTTATGTGCTCATAACACTTAAACAAACCAGAGAAATACCTAAGTCAACATGTGAAGACGTCGCATGTTCTTCGGCTCAGAGGGCAGCATACAACACTCGAGCCTGAAGACACTGCCCTGTCACCTTTCGTGCCATAGCTCATCTGCTGGGGACGTGTGGCTTCTTTGTCACAGGTAGAAAGCTCTGAGTGCTATAGGAAGCCTCCAGCAGCAGGATGCTGTGTGCTGGGGAAGGACCCGGCTGAAGGCAGGATGCTGTGTGCTGGGGAAGGACCCGGCTGAAGGCAGGATGCTGTGTGCTGGGGAAGGACCCGGCTGAAGGCCAGGATGCTGTGTGCTGGGGAAGGACCCGGCTGAAGGCCAGGATGCTGTGTGCTGGGGAAGGACCCTGTTGAAGGGATTTGTTGGAAGTCTGAACCAAGAGAAACTCTGAAACTATTGCAAAAGTTTCTTGTGGGTGACCTGAAGGCAGAAAATCACTTGACTCCTTATCACCAGTTGGCTTCAAAGAATAAGAACTAACAACCAAAAACAAAACAAAGCACCAGCTCCCTGTGTGACTGCATAGCACACTGGTCTCTGTCTCCTCCTTACATACCTTGGACCACAGATAATGATGAGAGATACTGTGTTCAAGACGGCGCCAGGGAACTCCAAGCAAGAGCGTGACTGCCTTACCAAAAGGCTTCCAGTTATTATGGATTATTATCCATTACAAACTCACAGACGTTGAGAGATTCCTCTCCCTTCATCCCAAGCACGAAGGCCAAATAACTGAAACCATAGGAAGAGTTGAGTGCTGCATCTGGAGTAAATTAAACACCAAATAAATCTTCTTTGTTGTCACATTAAAAACAAAAACAAAAAGGAACAAAAAAACCCTCATCTTTTTAAATAAAACAAAACAACAATAAGAAATACAATTGTTTTTGGGAAATGACGATGGAAACCCACATTAATAACTGGATAGCCCTAGGAGAGGTTAAAAGACGCACCAGATTGGGCATCTTAACTCCTCTCCCCTAGAATTTTCATCCATCTTTAATAGGTGGATAAAGAGAGAGGCAGCCCCTCTGACATTTCACAAGCATGCGAGAATACCAAGGGAGATGTGGAATGCGGCTTATAAAGCCTGTAATCCCATAGAATCAGGCAGAGTTTCCAAACACGCTCAGAATTTCCTGAAAAGCCTTTTGAAATATGGCCCAGGGGTTTCCTGGGTTCTCTGCGGCAGACACGGAACTTCTACAACTCCAAGAGAGCTTTGAAGAGAGCCAGCGATTACAGAGACAGGGCCGGGGGAGAGCAGCAATCCAACAGGGCTGGTTTCACAACCGACAGGACATGCAGGGAGCCACTGCAGGGTGGGAAAGCCTACGGGGTAAAGAACATTGCACAACGGTCTGATGTCGAAAGAGAAGGAACCAGTGGCAGTGATGGGCAGCTGGAAGAAGGAAAGGGGCCCTGTG